AGTTTCCAGCCTAAACTCAGCCTTGTCCTCCAAACCCTGGCAGCTCCCCTCAGTCTCATTCTCCGCGATCACGCCTCCACCGGTTAAAATAAATAAATAAATAAATAAAATATTTCACTTTTTTTTTTTTTTTAAAAAAAAAAAAAAGAACTCCCTTAAGGATTAAAGCGACAGGTGATCCTCCTCTGGTGAAAGAGATTCGCGTCCTCTGGCAATGAAAGGAGGAGACAGCAAAAAAAAAATAAAATAAAAAATCCACTCTGTTTTAAAGATTATTTTTTTTTTCTTCTGCAATAAGCTCAGAAAGCGGCGAATCGCTGCATCCCGACAAAAAATCCGGCTTCCCTGGACAGCATCATGCAGCAAATTTCAAGCAAATGTGTTCAAACTGAAGAGAAGAGTCTCTGATAAAAGCCTCTCTCCGTCATGCCTACTCTGGTAGCTAATTTAGCACCCTGGGAGCGCAAGACATTAGCGATGAACAATTTCGCTGGCAAGATAACAAAATCCCCCAAGTCCTGCATAGACTCAAAAAATTGTTTAGCAGCTAAAGGTATTCTCTCAATAATAATAGTAAAAAAAAAATTAAAAATAAAAAGAGAGGAAAGTCTGTAGGGGATGGTCTTCTTTGAAGGTTATGCTGAAAGAGTTGGGAGGAAAACAGGAGGTGGATCTCTTGCAGAAGAGAGAAGGGAGAGAGGCAGAGATTTCCCCCTTCGTTCCTGTTTTACTGTCCTTCACCGCCAGGTGACTGACTTCCCTCCTCACGGCCCGAACGGGGGGGATTTCTCCAGCTCGCAAAAAAAAAAAAAATAAAAACCCCAACATTTCCTTTCCGAGCAGCTCAGCCCCCGGGTCTTAACGCCGCCCCGCCGCCGGCCGTCCCCCCCCACCCCCGATTCCTCCACCGTCGCCAAACGGCTCCTCTCGCTAGCCCCACCTGCCTTGAATAATAGCCACACTCACCAGTTTAAGAAACCGTTACTGCCTCATGTATCTCTCCCTGTAAAAAAAAAAAAATATATATATATTTATATCTGTGTCTAAATAATAATATATAATAATATATAATGTTTATATATGTGTCTAAATTAATAAGATGATGTGAAACTTCTCAATCTTTGGCTCAAGACGCACAGGTTTAGTTGAATGTATCATTAATGTGCTGCAGCTTTGGTGGAGCAGCATTCCTGGTGGCACAGGGATTATGTCTGAGTATCTCTCAGGGTGTTACTTTACTAATCTCCTTTTCCAAAGGATTCACTGTCTTTGCAGCTCTCACAACGCTCCAAAGAGAATCAAAATTCGATTTAAAAATTCACGTTCCTTTCCACCAAGATCCTGATTTTATCACAGTCCTTTGTTTTAAATCTGTCACGTGCAGTTTTGGAGAACAAGGCTGTGATTTTTGGTTTCCCGCTATCAGTTTTTTGGGGGCCTTATTTATTAACTCCATGAATGGCCAATTCACAACTATCACTTTCTAGTACTAACACCTCCTTTCTAAGCTACTTTAAATAGAATTGGTATTCCTGATAATTTGACAGAAGTAGACAGACCTAATAGCTCAAAGTCCATACTCTGTTTCCAGTTCAATATAGATTTTTTTCCAGCTTCCAACCCTTCAAGGTTAACATAAGCTTAAGCCCTGGGTGACGGCCAGTGATCGCCATTTCTGAAGGCTGAATATAGTCCTTGTCTTCTGGAAAACTCTACAGATGTGAGGCAGACACAAGGAAATGACATTTCTCCCCCTAGCACAAATTGTACATGACTTCCAGGTTCATTGTGAATGCACTGTAAATATCATTATCATCATTAATCTAGAACTGCAATTTGTAAAGATTAAAGCCTTGGTCTGGCGTTCCCTGTGTGAGCCAACAGACTCATGTTCAAATAAAAGACTGCCAAAGTGGACACTAAATCACCCTGCTGTAGGACCTATAGAAATTTAAAAGAGTATTTTTCCCTGACAGAAAAATACCACCCTACCCCACAGACCCCTCCAACTGAAAAATCTGGAGAGACTTCTGTAAGAGACCGTGCTGAAGGAAAACCTCTCTCAGAAGGCACTTCTAAGCTTCCCCTACTGTGTCAATATGCAGTCCTGGGAAGAGAAGAGGACTGCCCCAGTGTGTGACACCAACCAGTGGACATAGTATGACAGCACCTCGGTGCCCTGATTGGTGACACTGGAAGAGCCCTGAGTGTCTCCATACATCCACACCTGTTTACATGGCACTTAGTAGACCAACAAGTAGCTTTCCAGAAACCTTGACCTTCTGCTGTCTTGTTGCTGTAGACTTTCTTGGAGGGGGCACTCCTCAACCAGTTTTCATATTGGCACAAAATTTATGGGGATGTGACACATTTGAGAATCCTCTGCTAAATTTGGTTGATATTGGTCAAGAGTTCAGGGAAGAGGCAAGGAAAATTGACAGGGCAATCATATAAGCCTAATTTCCTTGGAAAACAAGGCAAACCAAATTGATTTTGTCAGTTGCTTGAATAATACTTTAAAATGTTTCACTCTTCATAGGTAATAGACCCTAACAAGTGACTTTAAAAGTGGGTTTTTTGTTGCTCAGGCAGGCACTTCAAAGATAATAAACACCAAACTTCTAGTTGCTTCAAATATCTTAGGTTTTTTTTATCTTGTAAGATAAAGATCTGTAAGATCTCTGTTTTCTCATTGCAGGACCCTCATTCAGAAGACAGGGTTAACATTTTCATCCTTGTTATTCATGTATGGCCCTATGTCTTATTTGTTGCATACAGTGTGGAATTATTATCTTCCTTAAAGAGGGCTTTCCATTTCACTCAGCGATGTTAACAGCTGTATTCTGCATGAGTGCCAACACAAAATTTGGATATAAGGGTGAATCTTATCATTAATACGAGGGAAAACTGAAACCAAGCCGAGAGGCTGGATCCAAAGAGGAACCAAGCAAATCTTTAAGCAAATCAGAGTCTGAGCTCTGAAAATGAGCCCTGAGCCTGGTGCTTGCAAATGAGTGTCCAGAAATGAAGAACGGGAAGCAAACAGCAGTCAACGAAGTCCCCAAGCAGTGACTTCGACCATAGGCCCTTTGTTGAACAGGTCAACATGTGGTAGACCAATGAAAGAATTCTGTTATTTTGTGTAAATCCAGCTGCCTTAGCTACTATACCACCTTTATTTGTGTATTCATCTGTTTCATTCACCTGCTAAGCCTTCCAGCTTTTTTTTTTCCCCCCAGCTAACAAAACACTACGCAAAAGTCATTCACTGCCTAGTCCCATGTCTTTCCTGTGCCCTAGTCTTCCTATGTCAGGCACTCCTGGTATGCATAATTAGGGATTATATATAGGATATAATTAAAGATTGTATTGTCAGGATATAATTAAAGACTGTATGAGAGGAGAATCCTGAAAGAATAGGCATCCTTACAAACTATTTAACTTTGAATTACTTGACTTAGGTTAAGGTCAGGTTTAGGTTGATTTTTTTGGTATTCAGTCTTCTAGGGTTTTGTTTGTTTATTTGTTTGTTTTCCTTTTAGTAAGGCTAAAAAGACTTACTTTCTGCAGATCCTTGTTGTATGTTTTTATAGTGGAGTTGACTCTGAAGTAAAAGAGCAGGGTAGAGAACATATGCAGGACTTTGCGATGGTTGCCCAGGTCAGAGCACATTTTTACCCAATCTGGAAAAGTTGCTTCCTGGACATAAAAAAATTAAATTCTGCAGTCGTTTAAGCCTGTATGTAAACACCCAGGGGAGCATATTTTCCTAAATAAGGTCTGCAAAAACATTTTTATAAACATACAGTATTTTATAACCTAGAGATTGCAGCCAACTCCCCCTGTGATACAGCCCAATAGTGAGCAAGTGCAGTTCAAACCTGTGCTGGGAGCAGTGAGAAAGTACAGCTTTGCAGCAACAAATCATGCTTTTTAAACAAGCACAGTAGTCCCAGTGCTAGATAATTATCATGATTTCTTTCTCTTCCCAGAGATGCAGAGACTATGTCCCAAACAACATGGCACAGGTTGCTTTGTCCTCTCATCAGGGCATTGATCTCCTCTTTGCAAGAGACTTTTTCTCAGATTGAGGAGTTTCCAAGATAGGGTTGCCTAGGAGACCTTCTTGGGTGGGTTTGTCTTCTCTAGGCACAGATGATTTATTGGGTTGCTTTAGGCCCTCGGGAGCCCGTGCAGGAAGATAAACACTTCCAAAGGGTGACTTACTTCATGAAGCTCTGAATCATCTCTGGAAGGGACTGTTTCCTTCTGACTGTCTAGGGAGCTCCTGAAGTTAGATGGCTGAATCTGGGACCACATGTTCAGTAGCTTAATACAGATATGGTTGAACTCAAGCCAGAGTTACACATATGCATCTGAAAAAAAGATGTCAATCATAATGAAACCATGGAAAATGATGGAATCTTTCATAGTGAAACCACACGTGTTACACTCTCTTGTTTCTCATAATTTAAAATAGAGAGGAGAAAATTTTCCTAACATACTGTTAATAAGAAGGGAAGAATAATCCAAAAGCCAATACAGGTATAATATCTATAATACATTCCACAGGTATTTTTCATTCTAAAAAACCCACCAGACGCACAAGGCTAGGGATACAGACTTCAGCATCAAATACGAGTACATATGAGTACTAATGTAGTTCTTAAACAGAATTACTACATTTTTCCCAAGCTGTAAGGGAAACCTGTATACCTGAGAATGTTTCTTATACTGCTCCACAATGTGTGATTTATTTTTTTTAAATAGTGAATGTCAGGCTAATGTAGGTATATGTATGTTGCATTATAATTATCTCTTAGTGAGTGTATTCTGAGTAACATAAAATTGGAGACCTTTGGGTTGAAGTCAATAAAATACCAATCTGTCTTCCATGCTTCAGAACCCATCACAAGCCAGAAAAAATAATTTTCCTTGGCCTAGCAAAGGCTTCTAAGGTGCAGAGGAGCCCACAAACCGTTGTGCCCTG